TATAATCATATTCAGTGCATGGAAAAATAAGAGTACTGACTTTGAGGGCAATCAAAAATTACTCTGAAGATTATTTTGTGCTATTAGTGTCATGTTTGGTTGGAATAGAAGCTTAATCTACACTTCGCGATTTGGAAATAAAACTAGTTCGTTGAAAAAAGGCGCCTTCTCAGGAAATGCCAAGCTCTTCCGGGGTGAGTTTTCTTACAAAGCGCTATTTTTCTCTTTGATGGTTCTGACGCGCTAAAGCGGCACTCCACGTGCCTTTATTTGAATCGTGAAACAAATACGGATAAAAGAGATGCTCATGCACGATTTTTTTAGGTGAGAATCGCTTGCCAGCTTTCCTCAAGTGTCGTTATTATTGGTGTTATTAATTTAAATGATCATTTACTGATTCACTGCATTCTTTTCATCGTGTGACAGCAGACTCCCTTGCATGTTTTCACAACAATTTCTCAAACTCTTTGGCTTTTCTGCTGCTTTCATCAGATGCTTTTTTTCGTAGCGCATTTATTTTTACTTTTTTTGAAAAATTTTCCAAGAACGCTAATTCTTGAACTGTGTCTACCAAGGAAGAACTGCCTATCTTAGGCTCCTATGACTGCTTTTTTTATATTCAATCGGAGGTTTTTTACTTGAGGAAAGTTGAGATAAAACGAGCTCACTCTTACTTACTTACTTAGAAGGTCAAACAGTTACATTATGATATCGACGGCGTGCTCTATCGTAATAAACTTCCACAAAACCTGCTGACAAGAATAATAGCTTTCATTCACTCTTTAATTTTATCCTAATAGAAAATGAATAGTGAACTTGAGGTTAAGAGACGAGAAGCAAAATGATTTGTCTATCGGAGTGTTCGGTGTCGCCCTTATTACATCTTTATGCTTCCGAAGCCTATCTCTCTTACCCAGTGCTAAAGATAAGGTGTTCGACTTGTCCGTGACACATTTACTTTGAGCTTTCCCAGACACTGCGTGGTGATGGGCTGAAAAAATACTATCCACTTATTGGCCGCTGCGCACTGGTGTGGGCTAGTGAGCTGGAAGATTTTTTCGTACCCCATGAAGTTAACGTGAGACTTGTTAAAGATGACTCCGACCGCATCTATACATCCTTAATCATTTAATTGCAGCCTATTGATTGAAACGATTCGAAGGTCCGTTAAATAGTAACTAATACACGTCAACCCCTCAGTAGATTACCCAGAAAGTGTTTGTGGGCTATGCGCTTTTCTGATCTATAGATTTCTTTTTCAATTATTAAGTGGCAAGGCATGATGATAAGCAAAATTAGAAGGATGCTGAGATATGACCGACCTCAGATGTGTTTCTAACACGTAATTACCCTTTACGGAACTTGTGTGCTATCCACCACATCAATCAAGGGATTTGCTTTGCCTTTGTATAATCAATGTTTCAACAATGTCAGTTTTGTCAGAAATTACCCATCAGCGGGAATGTTTTGAGGTGCAGAAATGGCCAATGGTGTGGCCGTGGTGGATAGCCTTCAGTCCCCAAAATGGGTTGTTGCGTGTTTAAGCCTATCTAATCTTCCGAGTTTTGCTCATAACTCAGCATCTTAATGACCTTATTGTATCATGTCGTATTTTATTTTAATCAACTCGTTTTCACATTTCTTGTGCGGATTTCAGCGTTCTTACATCCGATTCTTTCGCCCGCATCCATCGTCCATGAAAGTTTTCGAGTTTTCCTTATGTGAAGTCGGCTATTACTTAATGACAGTTGTCATCTTAATGAATGCCGTTGAATGCTGATCGAGTTGATTCTCGCTGCAATTTTGAAATTGCCAAATCGATCATCGCCATTTGGACACCGTTTGTTTCTAAACGAGGCGAACTGCTTTCGGAAAAGTCTGATACAAATTTTATATCTCTTAAGCAAGAAAAGCATTTTCGACTCAGGGAGGAGTAGGACAACCACAGCGCTTATGTGAACGGCGTCACTACCGCTGCGCTACCCGCCTCAAATAATTCTGCTTTCGTTTATTCAATATTTGACAACCAGGCAGAAATTTTCTACCGTTGATAAAGTGCTTTTAGGGCCTGAAAATCAGGAGATTCTCTCACGAGTTTCTAAAATTGCACATCGACATATTGCTTTTTCATTCGAATAGATGGTGAACAGTTTGAGACTACTATTTAGAACTACTATTTGATTTTCTTTTCCAAACTGCATTTCTTTACAGTAGGCAAAGGTTTCAACTTTACGTTGAGTAATACGGCTACATGTGGTACGAATTTAAATAGATTCAAAAATAAAAGCTACTGTGCCATATTGTGTCACACATTCGGAATCACACGTGGCGCCCACAAGTCGACAGCCGTAGCGTAATCGTTCTCGAAAATGGTTGCTAATGTTAGTATCTCATCATTTTCCACACGCAGAAAGTGACCTTTTCATGTCATCTATGGTTGAGACAAATTTCCATAACATCTTTATCAGTTGTGCACTTGATCAATATGTCCTTCGTGCGCAGGAAAGCTCTATGGGCAGCTTTGAGATGATGCTTTCGTCCATAAGTACAATTCAAAATGACCAGTCTTTTACAACTACTGGGCGTACTCCAACACCTTTTGAATATGACTCATTTACTCGAACTCATCATTCACCAAAATCTCTCGAATTTCGCACGTAGATTAAGCTACATCTTAAGGATTTTTCTTTTCGCCATAGATCTCGTCGAATGCTGGTGAAGTCAATCTTTGGAATCCTGAGATATCTGGACACCTTAGCTAGATTGCACAATGCGAACTTTCCTAGGACAAGTCTGGTAGCGATATGTCGACCAAGGAGAGAAGACTGGCTGAATGAGCCAGGCAATCAATTAATGAAGACTGAAAGTGATTTTATGTCTCAGCTGATGCCTTTTCTCGAGCTGATAGATTTTGACGCGTTAACTCAAAACTCAAAACGAGAAAAAAGTCGTTTGGTAGCGTCTTCTTGCTTCGATTCTTGGTACTGACTATAATATGCTGTGTAGGCACTGAGAGGCACCAGTGAGTGAAAAAGAAAGCACATGCAAGCTTGTCATTTAGAATTCGCCTGTCATATGGATCCTACTTTCTATCTTGATCTTAGGAGTTAAGGTTCAAACTAATGACAATGCAGCTTTCTGTGGCCCTGAGTGTGGAAAGTATCTGCAGTTCTATATGGTTAGTTATGCCGCTAAATTCATTGAGAAGAATACAATAAACTTGTGTAATTACTTTGAACGCACGCACATATGATTTTCGCATAGTAAAATGTGCTTGAAGCATTCATCATAACTTAGCATTTAGTCAGATTGATAAATTTCGCCTCTATTGCTCCGGCTTGCTGTAAACTGCAGCGGTAAGCATAGCAAAATTCTTGAACTTAGAGCATTTATTTTTCTCTGGCAGTGTCGTTGTGGGATATTGACAGTAAGAAGATAGGAAAAAAATTTTCATAGAAGCAAAAAAATTTGTAGCACCATAGGCGGTGGGCGGTTGCATGTTAATAAACAAAAAAAAAATCGGAACAATGGTGGTGATTGACATTCCTCATTAAACGGAAACTCGTTATTCGAATCCGTATCTGGCGAGTCAAAACCAAAATTCGTCCGTCGCCGGAAAATTATAAGAGTGGTGCAAAAGTAATGACGTTGTGGTTTCGTGAATTTTAAATCATGATAACTAGGCTCAATAACATCTCTGTCAATCAGAATAAAAACCACTACAATCAACACATTTTTGCCCAAGGAAAACGAATTCGTATATTTCTGTAGCGCAAAAGTTGGTGTTCCCGGATTCCACAAACTCTTGGAAAGCTTTGTGCATCCCGTTGACTGTGAAGGCATTTACCTGCAGGAAATTAGCGAGATGCTTGAAGACATGATAGTTGATAGGCGAGAGGTTCGGCGAATATGGAGGATGAGGCAAAACTTCGTAGCTCTATTTGTTAAGCTTTTGAAGCGTTAGCTGGACGACATATGGCTGTTGACTGGCTATAAAAAGCCACCAATACTCTCACACCTACTTTTTCACCGTCCCAATTTTTCCAATTGTTGAGCGATGGTAAACTAGTCAACGCTTTATTTTTTGCATCATCTCTCGCAGTCTTGAGAATATGAGCTTCAATAATTACTTTTCTCATGAGTCTAATGTGGTTAATAAAAAAAAAATGCTGTTTATGTCATGTCAAACCCGTCTCCTTTACGTTTTTGAACCTCCGCCGCTCTATAAGTTCGTTAGTAGTAAGATTTAGTCATGTTCTGTTGATGTTGCAAGATGCCTCAGCTGCTTTACGACCTATTTTGAATTCATAGTCTGAAATCGCCACAACTTTTGCACCAACCAACATTCTTTCCATAATCCAAAATAGATACAACATAAAAGAGCGCAGATGCCCATTAAAGTAACATATAACAAAAAGACATCTATTTGAGAGTTTATTCTAATATCGAACAGCAAATTTCAACAATGTATAAATTGCCACCGATTTCGCACCAGCATGATGTTATCAAGGTTGTTAATCAACTCGCTTCTTTCATTCCTCAAAATTTGACACTTGCATTTAGTGAGAATTTAGAAACGTTCTAAAATGGCTCACAATATCTAGGGAGATTCAATTGGACCGATGTCATCCAGAAATATCATTAGAAATTTTGCAAAACAACAGAAGAATCCACCTGAAATATCCATTAGCCCTTGTGAGATGGCCGCGAGGAGAAGAATTGAGAGTAAGATTTTACAATCCACACATTGTGCATTTGGGGCGGTAGAAATTGTGCAAAAATATGGTAATTAGAATAACTATGAGTCTTTAAATAATAGTGAAGTCTGTAATATTCCGCACTCCTAAAGCGACTTCACAGCACTTCACAGTGGGGAAAATCGAAGCAATGGTTCAAGAGATATGATAGTGATATATCTGACAGAATATTTATTTAATTGCTTTTAGCGGTGGTATGGCGTTATGATATATCCAGTGATGTAAACTGATGTGCAAAACTTCTGCGTTAGGTGTAACTCGAACCCACATCTCACCCTATCCTGGGGCACGTGCTCGAACCGCTGCACTCCCAACGCCCGTTTTGACACCGCTCTTTCTACGCTACAACGTAGCATCTTAGTCAGAAACCAACCGCCAGCGGTCTGGCCTGGGTAGTCGGTAGATAAAAAATTGTTTAGTCGTTGTTGGTTCTTTTTGCTGGTGTTCAATTAGGTTGAATGGTGTTATTTCGTGGCGTAATCATGGTCTTTTTCGATAAGAAAACCATTCAGTGTTAATCAAAGAAAGGTCACTTTCTTGGTATTCAAGTTTTTGCAGTATATTTCTATCAATTCCAAAGTATATACACACTTTCCAATAAATAAAAGATCCTATTCATCTGGTTATGAAATAAGCAAACAATTTGAAGTATAGTGGGTAATCAATCAATCAATCATACTTCAATTTATGAAGATATTTCAGCGTTGAAAATACTTCTAACATTGTTGAGTGGTATGGAAAACATTCGACATTAGGCGGGAATTGAACTCGTTTTGAAGACTTTTATTCATACCCGGGCGCGTGCTACCACTACATCGCCGATGCCACCGCTTGCTACCAATCCCTCTTCGATATAACTATCCTAGCTGTGAGCAACCATCCTTGAAGGGTTCAGTCTGGTGGGCACATACCGGCATTGAACCCAGTTAAGCTGACAACTACTAAATATTTCTAATGGACATAAAAGCTTTCTTTTTACTGTTTTCAGCATTGGTACAATGTCACAAGTATGCATCTAGCAATGTTGAGTAGTTTGTACATTCAATACAGTTGACATTAGGCGGGAATTGAACTCGTGCTGAACTGAACTCGTGCTTACCCATACAAGCGCATGTGCTACCATCACACGACCGATACCACCGCACTGCTACCACTCTTTTTTCAATATAAACTATCATATCTGTCAGTTCAAAAGACTGCTTCTGCTTCGTGCTTCTCAGTAGACTCTCCTTCCTCAAGGCTACTGAAGTTATGATGAAGTAATGGCATTTCTTCTTCTCTTGAAACTTTTTATATCAAATATCTTACTCAATAACACTTTCGAGAACTTTGCTTCATTAATACTAACTTTTTATCAATGTTCTTCAGATGTCTAGATTTCTAATGTTCAGAAAGCCATGCAGTGTTTTTTAGGATGCTACCACTTTTATTTGCTATGCTACAATTACCGTCGTTTGGTACTGCACAATCCAACTCCAACCACGACGACGCAATGGTACATTGTCCCAGTACGGAGAACGCAACAAGCAGTTGTGACGCCCGTGAGATAGACATATATTTCTAATGCATTAGTCACCAATACCGGTTTACAATGAACTGTTTATGATTGTTGAAAATTATGATAATTGTAAGTGAGAGAACCTGAATGACTCTTGCAGAACTTTAATCGACTCTGTCGAGGCTTAAAAAACGCTTTTGAAGTATCATGTTTAGCATATTACCAACGGCACGAGCCATATTACATGAGACATGAGTTCATCAATGACTAGGCATAATTGCACTTTTCAGTTTCAAACCAACAGATCTCAACTGAATGCAACTTTTCCATTAAGAATGAGAAGCCATTAGGAATCTCAAAGTCTCAAAGTTCTCAACATAGGCACCTCCATCCATCAACTATCAAACCCCAATTTCGCCTTTTTCTTGCCGAAATTAAAAGTAGTTAATAGCTTTACAATTCGAACTTTCAGCCTTCATTTTCAGGAATAGTTAAAAAGAAGATTTATTGAGTGTTCTGAAAGATCAGAATTTCATTCTTATGGATAGAAAACCTTCAAGCCTATTGGAAAAATGCCCACAATTTCTATTTATTTTTATACCATTTAAATTAGTCATGAGCAATGACATTTTGTTCCAAAGTTTGAGGTGGCCATTACTTTCATATCGTTTGAGTTTGAATCAATCCTATATCGACCACTACAATGCCAACCAAGACCGCAGTTACTTTTGTAATTTGCTTCAATCGGCAGGAATGATGGTATCGCTGCTGTTGAGCCTTTGCACGCTCTTGTTTTAGAAGGAATAGCTTGGACGATTGCTTGACCTATGACTCTTAATGAGGTTGGTAGGAACGTAACTGCGGTTTATGTATTTCCAAAATGGGTCTCGTTTACGAAACTATTCGAACCCCTACTGCATTACACGTCCGTCAGCAATTCCTGGGTTAAATGCAATGTTCAAGTTGCGAATTATCTTTGCGGCTTTACGAACCATTTTAAATTTAGTGTCTGGAACCGCAATTACTTTTGCACACACTGACATACGTTCCATGGTTTAGAATAAATATCATACAAACAACAGATAACATGTCATTAGCATGAAAACATTAATCGAAGATGTACATTAAAATGATGTACAACACAGCCACATTTATTTTAAGGAAAATATTCCAATATCAAATGGCACATTTCAACAACGAATGTACAAACCGCAATTAATTTTTCACTAAGGTAATATTTTGAAAATGAAAAAGTAAGTATGATAGCTAGAACAATTATTCGACATGTTATTATGTTTAACGTTTTATGATTTTTCTACTTATCCTAGAGTCTATTAATACTTAACGAGAGGAGATTTTCTAAAACAATGGAATAATTGCCAGTTATTTGAAATATTTTGTAAATCAAACGACAGTTTGATGATACCAAAATTCTAGATATCAAGATCTTAGGAGATCTAGTGCTCAAAATGCTACCGTGCTTTTGATAGTACCTTTATTTTACGCTTTTCAAAATCCAATGTTCGCCTTTTGCGAAAATAGTGCTTAAAAATATGTTGTCTTTTGAGTGAACTTCACATACGTGGTGTTTTTTTGTGTAACAGGTTCATATCGCGAAAACTCCTGAAATATTCCTTGAATTACCCCAGTCTTACTTTCACAACCTTCTTATTTCAATTATCAAAGTATTTTGGGCACGTATAAGCCCAAAAAAATGAAAATTAGAACAAGCATCCTCAGGCCCGTTTTTTGATTGATTGAAACAAAGCGCTTTCTATTTTGATGTGATTTTCAAAATCAGACTGTTTATTTCAATGTCCTTCTTTCTTCCAAATTTTCGCACTCCATTTGCAAAAATAGTGCCTATTCAACGGTATGGTGACTTTCCGCCTTAGAGAAACTGTTCATTGAGTGAAATTCAAGGTAGTCCTCAGCTATTGGCGACAGATCTCAACTTCCGAATAGCTTTGGGTGCTGCCAAGTCCAGTAGTCTAACGCGTGAATTTGAAGTGAATACGGATGTATAATGTATGAACTTAGAAAGTTGTTTTCAGCCACATTCTTCACCTATCACATCTGTTGTGATGCAGAGAATATGTTCTGTTGCATGCGTCTGCAGGTGAGCATCAACTGCTGCGCGTTCAATTATTTTTCCTTGAATAGAACAAGAGAAAGTCGATCATGAGGAGTGGTCAGCGTTGTATCGTGATTTAAAACGGCAAGTAAATAGAACACTCTTAGCTACTTCTTTGAGGTCTACATCATCATCGCTATTGTTGTGATATCTATCCTGCTTCTTACCGCACTGATAACATTCTCCGTTCATTGGACTTGTCGAATAAGTAAGTCATTATCCATGATAACATGACTAGTTTTAAAAATTAACGAAAAGTATAAAGAGCTAAAAAGCGAGCCTTTCTGGCAACAGTGGTAATCTAACATGAGATAAATTTACTCTACTGTAGAGAGGAGATGGAAGGGAAAAGAGGTGAGAGTGTCCTTGAAGAAATATTTTCGAGAAGAGTTCGATATTTCAGAAGTCGCTAAGCAACCTTCATAACTCCAAACTTTTCAGAGCGAAAAAGACATCAAAGTTATAACTTCACATAGAAAATGGCCAGAAGAAGAACTTCGCCTACTTGATTGGTTGTTTTCTATCATCGAACGTGAAAATAATTGTTGAAAGCGCTTCTGTTGTATGATGTTTTTCTATCAAAGCCGAGAGTATTGAAATTTCCACTATTTGATCACACAATGTATGAATAATGTATTTTAACCCTAAAAGGACGACGTGTACCAGCTGAGGTACACGATTGTTTGAAGGCCTTTATCGCTGCATAAAAGCCTTCTCTGGGACATTTGGTAATCACTCAAAAGCTTAAATCTCTGCGATTTTAACAGTGTTCAATCTCTAGAAAAGCCTTGTCATTACGTTGCACCAGTGAAAATAAAATTATGTTTCACACTCAATTTTCTTCATTTGCTCGGCTGGGACTTTCATATGGCTCTTCATTGAAGTCTTATTAGTCATTAGTTAGCCCATATCTTGAGGATTTCAGTAATATAAATGGCTTTTTGAAAGCTTGTCATAGAACGCTGTAAGAGCGAAAAGAAGATCACATTTCAAGCCTAAAATGCTACCCCGCTGATTGAACGTCATAGGTGGTTTATTGGTAATTATAGGTGAAGTTTATAATTTGGAGGTGTCTTATCGTTACGTGAAGGATGGACTATCACAAGTAAACAATTCTTCAAACCTTTTCAATACAATGAGTGACTACTTCTCCTGAATTTCTTCATTTTGTAGCGGAAGTACTATATCCCTGTAAAAAATAAGCTTTCAGCCCCTATTGAGAGTTTGTATCGCGTGTTTTGCGAGAACGTAGCTTGAAAACATATCTTCTACAAATAAACATCCCTAATAAAGGTATATGTGAAGGTATTTCTAATATGTAGCTCGAGTAAGTGTGGGAAGAGCACGCGTTCATTATTGCGTGTGATACGGTACTTACCCTATCAGCACCATATTCAAAAAAAAGAAGTATTTTTCGCCCTTTCTAGACATTTTGGTGGTCAATAGATAGCTTACATCGCAAAAAAATTGAAAGGTGCACTTTATCTTTTGAAGATCTTTGTATTACACTGTAACAGGGAAAAGAATATGTGATTTAACAGTTGAGCATCTTTCAAGCATTTGCGATAAGCAAAGCTTTCCTAAAAAATTTCAACAGTTCTTCGATAGCACAAATTTCGGCAAATTTAACAGTGTTCTCAATTTCCCAAGAAATCTCTTTATTGCGCTGCAACACTGAAATCAAG